TAAGAAAAAAACTTTTATAAGATTTTTAAATTGTGGGCCTGAAGGACCAATTACATTAATAGTGCATAGTAACCTGTAAAACAGAATAAAATGATAATAAAAATATCTTCCACATTTATAGAACTTAATATCTGAATGTTTTCCTTAGATCACCTTGGTTCTTTCTAATGACCTTTATTACAGTGGATAAGGCACCTGACATTCAAAGAGTCTGGCATGTTCAAGGTAAATAGAGAATTTAAAATCCAGACCTGCTTCACTGACAATTCCACCCATCATGCTGTAAATTGGACTCCAATCCTGGATCCGAGAGGGTGGCTTTTTAAGAGTTCATTATTTTACAAGTCAATTGTGTGAGGTGTTCATTAGGACTTCTCAGTATACTTTATGATTCCACAGACACATATTCTCACCATGTTTTATATTAATGAAATTTAGATAAAATCAAAAAGCGGAAGAAAATTTAAAATTTCTCCCTGCTTTTTTACAGGCAATTGCTCAACTGAAATAAGGCTTTTTAAGAAACCTTTATTCTAGAAAGCCATGGCGTTGTAGACTGGGCTGGCCTGGAACTCGTTTTGTAAACCGGGCGGGCCTGGAACTTGGCTGGCCTGGAACTCGCTCTGCAGGCCGAGTGGCTTGGAACTCGCTCTGCAGGCCGAGCTGGCCTGGAACTCAACAGAGATCCACCTGCCTCTGCCTCCGCAGTGTAGGGGGGAATTAAAGGCATGCGCCACCACGCCTCTCAGGAAGCCCTTTTGATACCCATTTTGCAGTCGCAAGAAAACAGCAGAGAGGTGTTGAATCAGGGACTTTGGTTTGCAGGCAGAAACCGATTAGTGGGAACGGAATGGCTGCAGCCTTGGGAAAACAATATGAAGGCTCCTCAAAACTACAGCTGTGATCAAGCAATCCCACTAGATAGAAGGCACCAATTCTAACAACTTTGTACACTATTATTTACAGTAGCTAAGTGGAAACAACCCTGTAATGTCCACACAGGAATAGGTAAGCAAAATGTGTGGTACACATGCAACGGGGTATTACACAGGTTTTTTGTTGTGGTGCTAGGCCTCAAGCAGGCTGGCAAGTGCTCTACCACTGATCTACATCTTCACACTCCTTTATTCAGCATGAAAAAGAAAATGAATTTCTAGAGCCAGATGTGTTGGTGCACTCCTGTGAGCCCAGCGTGAGTTTGTGCTAAATAATATGAACCAATCACAAAAGGACATACATTTTATGACCCCACTTGTATGAAATATTAGAGTAAACAAATGTTTTGTGAAACAAGGCTTCAAGTAGCCTAAACTAGCCTCAAACTCACTATGTATCGAGGATGACCTTGAACTTCTTATTCTCCTGCCTTCACTTCCCAAGACCTGGGTTATAAGCATGTGTCCGCATGCCCCATTTTATGGACTGCTGGGGATTGAACCCACGGCTTTGTGCGTGTTAGGCAAGCAGTTTACCAATTATCTACACCCCCAGCCCAAGAATAGGCAAATTCTTGGGGGTTTGTTTTTGTTTTTGTTTTGGTTTGGTTTGGTTTTTGTTTTTATTTTTGAGCCAGGGTCTGACTTTGTCACCCTAGCTGGCCTGGAACTCACTGTGTAGACAGAGCTGGCCTCAAATTCATAGCAATCCACCTGCCTCTGCTGGGATTAAAGGCAAATGTCACCAGGCCCATGTCTTGGTTTTTAACCAGAACTACTGGCCTCTTTGGAGTAAGGCTTATGCAAATGAGAAACGGAAGAGCACAGCAATCCTGGAGTCTGAAATTCGTTTTTAACCTAACTTTCTGACTTCTAGCATTCCTACTACTTAAACATGATATTCTAATTTGTCTCTCCATTGCTGTAACAATACTCTGACCAATACCACCTTGGGGAGGAAAGGGTTTATTCAGTTTACATCTCCCAGGTCACAGTTCATCAGGGAGCCCAAGGTAGGAACTCAGGGCAAGAACCTGGAGGCAGGAGTTGGAGCACAGGCCATGGAGGAACACTGCTTACTGGCTTGCTCCCCTGGCCCCTGCTCAGCCTGCTTGCTTATATAGAACAGGCCGACCTGCCCAGGGGTGGCACCACCCACAGTGGGCTAGACCCTCCCACATCACTCAATAATCAAGAAGATGCCCCACAGACATGGTCACAGGCCAGTCCAATGGAGGCAGTTCCCTAGTTGAGGGTCCCTCAACCCAGGTGTGTCAAGTTGACACTAAAGCTATCCAGTACAATTGACCCCTTATAAACTTGACACACAAACACATCACTATTAAACTATAACCTTTCCATTTCTTGTCCCCAAAACATGATGTTAACATGAAAATCATAACATAAGACAGTACAACCTTAAAAACCCCATAGTCCTTAAAATCCAAAGCCAGCCTGGTCTACACAGTGAGTTCCAAGACAGCTGGAGCTACAGGGAGACCCTGTATCAAAAAGATCAAAAATAATAAATAAATAAATACTTTTCCAAAAATATTTATTTTATTGTTTGTATTTATATCTTTATTGTGTGTGTATGAATTCCATGTGTGTGCAGGTGCCTGTGGAGGCCAGAAGAGGGGGTCAGATCCCCTGGAACTAGAGCTATGGATAGTTGTTAGCTGCTGTGGAAGAATGGGGCACACCTAAGCTAAACCAAAGTCCAGCAAAGCAGCTCAAGGCTGGACATCTGGGATTCACTCACAAGCTTCTGGGTTCCAAAGGGTTCTGACAGCTCCACTTCCGCTGACTCTGCCGTCCACAGCAGACACAGCTTGTCTCGCAGACCCAGGCTGGCTCCATTCCACACCTGGTGCTGCCCTTGGTGGTCCTCCCACGGTCCTGGCATCTCCAAAAAGCTGGGGTCTCTACTGAAACTGAGGCTACACCTTCACCAATGGCCTCTTCTGGCCTCTTGGGGTGCAAAGCCTCAAATTTTCTCCATGGCCCCTTCAGCTCTGGGGTCTTCACTGCAACTGAAGCTTCACTTTCACCAATGGCTTTTCCTGGCCTCTCAGGGTGCCAAGTCTCAGCTGCTCTCTCTGACCTCTTCATGCTTTCAACATCAGAACAATGCAGGAGACTCTTACACATTATCAAATCCTGCTTCTAGCTAGAGTTGGAGGCTCGGGCCCCCTCTCAATCATAGCTTCTGTGTGCTGACCCTGAGGAAATGCTTCCCAGAGGATTTCACCACAGTGATGCTGGTCTCTTGTTACTTACAGCTCATTTTTCAGCCCCAGCTAAGCAGCATCAATTGTCCCAGTAGAGCAAAGGTTTTACTTCAGGTTCTGGACTGTTAATCACAGCTGATTCTTCAGCCCCAGCTGACCAAAAACCATAGATTCGCAATTCAAAATATCACACAAACAGCCCTAATAGTCTCTGCTTCCCTTTGAAGCTTCACAAGCCAGGCATCCATTATCTACAACTCTTTCAGCATAACTGTTCCAAGCTCCACAGCAAGAAACTCTAAGCACTCAATGGCTTTTCCAACCCAAAGTTCCAAATGCTTCCACAATCCTCCCCAAAACACCAAGGTCAGGCCTGTCACAACAATGGCCCACTCTCTGGTACCAGTTTCTGTTCTCTCTCTTAGCTTGTCTTTCCATTGCTGTAGCAAAGTATTCTGACCAATACCAACTTGAGGAGGAAAGGGTTTATTCAGCTTACATCTCCTGGGTCACAGTTCATCAGGGAGCCCAAGGCAGGAACTCAAGGTAGGAACCTGGAGGCAGGAGTTGGAGAACAGGCCATGGAGGAATGCTTCTTACTGGCTTGCTCGCATGGCCCACGTTCAGCCTACTTTCTTATACAATAGAGGACAACCTGCCCAGGGGGTGGCACCACCCACAGTGGGCTGAACCCTCCCACATCACTCAATAATCAAGACTTTGCTCGCCTGGCCCACGTTCAGCCTACTTTCTTATACAATAGAGGACAACCTGCCAAGGGGATGGCACCACCCACAGTGGGCTGAACCCTCCCACATCACTCAATAATCAAGAAGATGTCCTTCAGATATGGCCACAGGCCAATCCAATGGAGGCAATTCCCCAGTTGAGGCTCCTACAACCCAGGTGTGTCAAGTTGACACTAAAGCTACCCAGCACACAGGAAAAAAATGTTTATAATTTTAAAAGTACTGTATTTTTACTCATCTCAGTTGAAAACAACTTAAAGGCAAAAATCACAAGAGGATGTGTGGTAAACAAGGCCTAGTTATCAAAGGAGGTCACATAAAAATTAAAAAGCACTAAAGAATAAATAGCTCATGCTGTCCAGGGGGATAAGCTATGCAATCCAAGTAAAAATTAAAACCAAATTACACACACTAATCAGCTTTGCAGAACACATCTGATTCATTTTCAAACAACGCCAGAATGTTGATAAGTGCTGAACCAACACATGCAGCTGGGTTAGTGTGTCTCTGAGGAACTCCGGCACTGGGCTTTCTTCCTACGCCTGGTTGTATTCTCTTCTGGCCAGGCCAACAGGCAGTCAGCTCCTCTCAGTCTTCCAGTGTCTGAAGTGAATGCAATGCAGATTTTTGCATTGAGAGCCCTCAGATGAAGAAACCGGATGATTCTGAATCAGTGCTGGTTAGTTTTGCCAACTTGACACAAACCAGAGTCACTTGGGAAGAAGAAACCAACTGAGGAATTTTCTCCATCAGGTTGACCCACAGGCACACCTGTGAGGCACTTTCTTGATTGTTAGTAAATACACAGGAGCACCCAGCCCAGGAGGGGCAGTGTCATCCTTGGGAAGTTGGGCCTAGACTATGGAAGTAAAGTAGCTGAGCAAGCCAGGGGAAGGAAACCAGTAAGGAGCACTCCTCCATCGCCTCTGCTTCGGTTCCTGCCTCCGGGTTCCTGCCTTGAGCTCCTGCCTTGGCTTCCTTCAACAATGGACTGCAACCTGTAAGCCAAATAAACTTTTTCCTCCCCAAGCTGCTTTTGGTCATGGCGTTTATCACAACAGAAACCAAATTAGGACAGAGTTAATCCTCGTTGTCAACTTGACTAGATTCAGAATCATCATGGAAACATACCTCTGGGTGTGTCTCTGAAGGTGTTTCTAGAAAAGTTTAACTATAGAAGGAAGACACATCCTGAAAACGGCGGCACCACCCCACGGGCTAGTGTCCCAAGTGGATTAAAAAGGAGAAAAGCAAGCTGACCATCCATCGCCCTCGCGTAACGCGTAACCAGCTGCTTCGGCACTCCTGTTCCATGCCTTCCCAGCCACGACGGCTGCACCCTCAAATCCTGAGTCAAAACCATCCCTTCCTTGTAGCTTTTGTCCAAGATTTTATCACAGCAAAGAGAAAAGCCAGCGTCCTGATTCTAGAACATTCTCTTATCTTGTGTCTTACAATAGCACGTTTGTTCTATGCTATATAAAGAATTCTTCCTTTCCTTCACCCTGGACTGGCAGATGATGTGAACATTTTGAGATTATCTTTGCACCAAAGTCTCTTTGACCAGGAAGTGACAGAGGACCGACTCTTTCCTTAAAGAGTCTTTGGCTTTGGGAAGCAGTCGGCTCTAAAGATGAGCCTGACAAGCAGTGTGGTGGTGGGCTCATCTGAAAATCCCTTGGAAATCTGCTCAGAAAAGATCGCCTGGGTTCAGAATTGATGACAGTGAATCCGGTGTCAACATCTGTCTCTGCCTCCAGCTTCTGGAAGCTGCTTTCCTTACGGGCGTTCATTCTGATCCCAGGTGCCATGGGGGGAGAAAGCAGGTGCCGCTGGGTGCCCATGACTGAGCTGCTGGCCTGGGAGAACCAGCCAGGGCTTTTCCACAAATGGCCACTGGCGTTTTCTAATGTCCCACTGGGCTCCGCAAGCTCCAGAGAACGTACCTTGAACCTTCTGCTCCAACTCCTCTGGCTCCTGGGCTGTACGGTTCTCTGTGCAGAGACAGGATTCATCAGGGAGCCCTGGGGATTCATGTCACCTCTCAAACTGCCGTTTAGAAGGGAAAGTTCACCACTCCTAACAGCAAGTCCTGGCTTTGACTGAACCTATGAGACAAGGGAAGGAAGAACTAATGAAACACAGTTTCCACTGCCTAAGTGGGGGGAGTACCCTGGACCTTGTCCACCTCTGCTGCGCCACACAGCAGACTTCCAAACAAATTGAGCTGCAAAATGAGAGTAAATCTGATTATAAGGCATATGAGCAACAATTCCACCACTGGCTCTCATTCTCTGACTCAGTAATTTTTGTCAAAAATGGCAAGACTGGGAATCAAATGGGCACTTGATACCACCACACTTCTGGTTGACCTAGCTGTTTAAACACACAAAGACATTCACAGATGTCACTTGATGACCTCACTGATTGCTTTAAATGATATATTACAACATACAAAAAGAAAAAAAGCCATCAAAACCATGGTTATAGTAAAGATAAGGAATGGAAGGGGAATTCAATCTTCCAAAGTTGGTGGAACTTCTACCAGATCATACTCATGATGACATCGCTCCTGGATTAGTCCAAGACATATGGGCACCCCAGGCAGACTAATAGTCTGGTACCTTATTTTTTTTTAAAAAAAAAAAAAGGCTCTCACTATGTAAGTCCCGACTTGCCTATAACTTTCTATGTAGACCAAGCTAGCCTTTAACTCCCAGAGATCTGCCTATCTCTCCCTCCCTGAGAGCTGGGATTAAAGGCGTGCTCCACCATGCCCAACCATCCTGCACCTTTTAAACTTTGTGTGTGTGTGTGTGTGTGTGTGAGTTCTGTGCCTGCATGTATATAAGTGCACCCATGTCATGCAGTGCCTAAGGAAGCCAGAAGAGGGTGTCAGATCCCCTGGAACTGGAGTTACAGATGGTTGTTAGCTGCCATGTGGGTGCTGGGATTCCACCCGAGGTCTTCTGCAAGAACAGCCAGTGCTCTTAACCACTGAGCCATCTCTCCAGTCCCCTTGTGGCACAATTTAAAGCAAATATTTCTTATTTTCTTGAGATGCTATTTATGTAGAGTAGAGCCTAGCATTGTGTGGGAAAACAGAAAAGGGGAAATTTACATGAATGTTCTAATGTTTTCATCTGCAAAAATTGCACTTTGAATCCAATATTACAACACTGACCAATGTCCATTCTACACATAGCTGCCCTCTCTTTCCACGGAGTGGAGTCCACTGGAACACCTTCCATCCTTGCATTCCTAGGAGAATGGCATCCCACCCTTTTCACAGCATTCTCCCAATAGGATTTCTGGAAATGACAATTTTTACCATAAAAACTGGAATCTAGTACCTCAGTACCAGTTATTGGTCAGGGAAGCCTTAGAAGCACCATTGTTTTTGGTTGCCCATCGTAACTAGATGGTAAGCCCCTGTTGCTGAAGACACGATATGCTTGGGCAGAGGAGACAGAGAAGTCAGTGTGGATCTGACTGGCAAAGTTCTTCCTGCTCACTAGCATAGTGCTAGAAGGTGCTATGCAGGTCACTAGAGACACAAAGACATCGATGGTCTTATCCAGGACTGGAACCTGCTTGCTACAATATCGACCCACCACACAGCATGTGTCCATGGCTGTAGTGGCGTGAATGTTACGGGGGCAACAACCACTTTATCGTTGGATTTGAGGCTTTCACCAAAGGAGGGAATTCATGCCGGGTACTGCAAACCTGATCAGAAGCACAGGGCTGGGAAGCCACAGGTCCTAGAGGGGAATATAGTATTGTTTTCCTAAATGGATATGTTGTCAAACTGCCTTCTAAATATTTATGCTTATGTCTGTACATTAGTGCTACTTTCAACCTTGGCCAGAGAAGTTTCTCTTTCTGTATATTTTCATTGAATTTTTGCATATTTCATACAAAGTATCTTAATCACCTTTATATCCCCTCCCACATCCATATCGCCCCTCCATATCCCCCCACCGAATTTCATGCATTCTGTCATAGATGTTAAGTCCTATTGAGTTAAGTCTGTGTACCCAGATGTTCCTCAGTAGCAAGTTCATCCACTGCAGTCTAGTCATCCTATCTAGAGTCACTCCCCTAATATCAACTCTGCCTCATCCAGCAGCAAACAACTGGTCACACACAGAGGATAAATGTCTGAGAGATGCCCAGCCCTAAGTGACACCTCTATAATGGAACCTCTACACCTAAGGCTCATGGAACATACTAATACATCCCTCAACTCTCACCAGCAAAGCTTCCTCATGTAACAGAGTGTGATGCACACAGAAGGCCACCAAGTGTCCAAAATGCAGAGAATAAAAGACTGCAGAGTGTGTGTCCCTGGATAGGACTCCTATATTAAACCTCACCCACCCATGGCTCAGGGTCCATTGCAGAAGGGGGGGGGGTCGTAAGAGCCAGGGTTGGTGCAAGAACATAAGGGAACAGTCTTCCAGGCTTCTGGGAACTTGCTCATATGACTTACAGCAATCGTGTCAGCATGAACAAGACCTATGAAAACTCAGTCAGATAAAACCCAGCATAGAAGTGGGGAATTGGGCCAGAGAAGCTTCTTTATAAGTGTACAGTAGTTAATGCAGAGACTCAAATATGGTGAAAGTGTGAGAATAACTGAGTGTTTAGCTGTAAACAGGACTTCTGTATCAATCCCTCACCCACACACATGCACCAAGGCTCAGGGAACATCAGGGAACAGGGGCAGAAAGAAAGGAAGAGCCTGAGGATGGGGAAGAGTGTTGAGAAACGCTGCCTTCTGGGTATGACATCATTATTGCCCTCATGAACACACAGCAGCTATGGTTACCTGCACAAGACCTGCACAAAATCAAGCAAGTCAAAATTCCAGCATGGGTTGGGGAGGGGCCCATGAGGCTTCACCCCTAGCTGAGGAGCTACAGGAGATGTTGATAGTAGAGGAAGCTATATGTCTGTGGGTTTGGAGTATATATGAGTATATATGAGACCACTTTTTCTTTTTTTTTTCCCCGAGACAGGGTATCCCTGTAGCCCCAGCTGGCTTGGAACTCACTATGTGGACCAGGATGACCTTGAACTCACAGATCTGCCTGCCTCTGCCTTCCGAGTGCTGGGATTAAAGGCGTGTGCCACCATGCCCAGCTATATGAGAACTCTTAACTGAGCTCATTTTGATGTGCTCTACTACCACCCTGAAAAATAGTCTACAAAAAGGGGAAAAGAAAGAACTGTACATGTGTCTCTAAGAGGAAAAAGGCAAAAGGCAGGCCGACAGAAAAGCACATCAAAAATGTGTCGAACACAAACAAAATATTTGTGCAAACAACACACATACATGCTCTTCTCTCAATTTTCCCTGTGATAGAAATAAAAAGGAAGCAATTACCAAACTGCAAGATCAAAACCAAAAAAGCAACAGGAACATCTATTTCTTTTAGAAGTTGTCAAGTATTTCCTGTGAAAGGTCATGTAGTGACTATCTCACCATGCAGACCTTACCCCAGATACTCAGATCTGTGCAAAGCTGCCAGAAACAAAGAATAAATAAATGACGTGGTTGCGTTTCAGTAAATTTCTATTTATGAACACTGAAATTAGAATTTCATATCATTTTCATGTGTCGAATTTCTTCTCCAGTCACTTAAAAATAGAAAATTATTCTTAGCTCCTGGCCCATAATTGTCCAATTCCTTCTCTTTCTAGATCAATGAGTCAGTGATGCCCATTCATTCTCCATCTTTCAGTTAAAGCTTTTTTTCCCAAATACCTTGCCTGGAAGCCCAAAGCATGAAGCAATTGGGCTAGAGCAGCTTGGAGGCTACAATGCAGGGGTAGCTCCTGACTCCTGGAACCCCCTTGCCCCTCTACCTCCTCTGTGGCTGCTAACCCCTTCAACCCCCAAAGGTTTTTCAGAACACAGGGTACCATCCCTGAACCAAGCCAGATTCCTAGAAAGCTGCACATACTGGACACCCACCCCCCACCGCACCCCACTTAAGTGTGGTGCCCTGATTTCTACCAACTCCTGCTAGCATCAGAAAATCTCTAGAAGGGCCTTTGTTGGAGGGTGTCTCCTGTGCCAAGATGTGCATTTCTGTCCCCAGTCATTGCTGCTGGGTATTAAAAAGCACTGGGGGGAGAGGGGAGATGCCCAGAAAGATGACTCAACCGTTAAGAGCACTGGCTGCTCTTGCAGATGTCCAAGGTTCTGTTCCTAGAACCCACATGGCAACTAACAACCATCTATAACTCCAGTTCCAGGGATCTGATGTCCTCTCCTGCTTCTGCTAGCATTGCATACACACGGTGCACTTATATATGTGCAGGCAACACACTCACACACATAAAAATAAAAATAAATTTTTAAAATGTAAAAGCACCAGTGCCTACCCCCTGGAATTCTGATACTACCAGGCTAGGATGCAGCATGGGTACAAGAAGTGTTCGCATTTCCCTCGTGCACCTCCTAGTGCACAGCAAGGCCAGCAGCCCCTTCCGTGAACTCAGTAAGTCAGGCTAGGATGCAGCATGGGTACAAGAAGTGTTCGCATTTCCCTCGCACACCTCCTAGTGCACAGCAAGGCCAGCAGCCCCTTCCGTGAACTCAGTAAGCTGTGTCTTGGGAGTTCTCCTGTGGGCACCTGGGGCTGCTCCTCTTCACAGACAGCTGACCTCCTGCAGCCACTGCTGGTCACTGCATTACCCAATTTCACTGTCTCTCTTAAGATTTATTCATTTTATTTTATATGTATGTATGTGCACCATGTGCATGCCTGGTGCCCTGGAAGACCAGAGGAGGGCTTCGGATCCCCTAGATCTAAAGTTACAGATGGCTGTTAGCCACCATGTGGGTGCTGGGATCTGAATCCAGGTCCCCTGCAAGAGCAGCCAGTGCTCTTAACTGCAGAGCCATCTCTCCAGTCCCCTTTTTCCCATTTTATCCCTCCTTTATGTTCCCTCTTCCCTTCCTTCTCCTGTCCACCTTTCCTGTCTTTCCGTCATTTGTTTTTAATAAAAATATCTTATTACAGTTGAGTAGTCCTTATCCAAAATGCACAGGACCAGAAATGTTTCAGAATTTCAATTTTTCATGTTTCAAGCT